CTCCTCCCCCTCCTCCTCCCCCTACCCCCCTCTGCGCGTGGCCGAGCATGGGATGCCCAAGCCGTGCCCACCTTGCGGGCGGCGTCGCTCTCCCTGCCGCAGTCGGCCGCCTCCACTCCGAGAGAGCACGGCCCAGGGGCACCACCCCTGCCAGCCCTCGGCCTCTTCGAGGAGCTCTCCCAGGGCTTCGCCGCCTTGCAGTGGGGCAGCGCGGACATGGCACGCACGAGATCAGACAAAAAACACCAGAAGAAGAGCCATCGGCATAGACTCAAGCTTTCGGAGGACGCCGAGGAATGTTTAGATCGACGCTTGAGCCCCCTACCCTGACGGGCCGAGGGGTGGGCCAGCGCCGGCCCAAGAACTCCGCGCGGACCCCCGAACTTCTATGCTGATGTAGCTTGTGCTTCTTCTTCGAGGCACGGCTGCCGCGAGCCGAAAATTGAGTCCAAAACGACTCGAGCCGAAACGGCTTGCGTGATCCCGTACCCCCCCGACCACCAGAGGCTCGTCATCGTTGTGCACGACGTCGACGCTCCGTGCTCTCGACGACGTGGCCTGGGGCCATGTGCTTCGCCACGTGTCGGTGCTGTCGGTCCCCGAGTCGGCTCCCGGATCTCCAACGATCCGATGATAATGTTTCGATCCCAGCGCTTTTCCTCGACCTCGGCCTCTCGGGCCCGTCAACGGGCCCCTGGGGCCTGCAGAAACGGGACCAGGACGCAAGGCTTTCCCCGGGGAAAGGGCGGGGACCTCTGGGGCCCCGTACCCACCGACGCTGGGCGCAGGAGGGGATCCCTGGGAGCCTCCAGACCCAGACCCCCGACGTCATGATTTCTTCATGGCGTCGACCCCCAGAGCTTTCGACCTACTCCCCGAGACCAGTTTTTCATCCTGCGTCAGTTTTGACGGTCCTGAGGCCCGGTAAAGGCCCCCAGAGGCCGAAGACCTGCGTCTGGGAAGGGTGGTCCCTCGGGGTCCTGAGGCGGTGCGGTGGCAGGCCGTGCGGTGACCTCGCCCTCCCCGAAGGCCTCACCACCCGGCCCGCGCCACCGCCCCGCCTCGGAGCTCCTCCCGGGGGGCGCCCGCCGCCCGAGAGGCAGCCTCGGAGAGAGCGGCCTCGGGCCCCCGAGCCGTGGGGTCACCCCGAGTCCGCACGGGCTCACCACGCGGAGCGGTCAGCGCACCGTTCTGGGGCCCCTCCTCCTCCTCCCCCTCCTCCTCCTCCTCCTCCTCCTCCTCCTCCTCCTCCTCCTCCTCCTCCTCCCCAGAGAGTTCCGGAAAGCTCTGAGAGAGTTCTGGGGGCCCCCAGGATCTTCGGCAAGAGTAACCTTGGGCAAACCACTCTAGCGGGGCGCGGGAGGGGGTGAGGGGCAACGATAGGGGGAGACTGGCATAAGGGGGATGCATCGACCTGGAATCGGCGATACGTCGCCGATAGATCGGCGACAGGCACCCGATAGCGCAACCGCACCTTCCTGGGCGGTGTGGGGCTATCAGCCCCTATCTGCGATCAGTGGGCGACTGGGGGTCGATGCATCCCTTCCTATGCCTGTCCCCCCCTATCGTTGCTCCTGAGGGGAGGAGGAGGAGGAGGAGGAGGAGGAGGAGGAGGAGGAGGAGGAGGAGGAGGAGGAGCAGGAGGAGGAGGAGGAGGAGGGGGCTGATTGGAGAGGACACGCGAGAGGACACAAGACCCTTCTGGGGGCCAGATTGCCACACAGGGTCGCGAAGCATAGGGCACAAGGGTACCCTTGATTTGGCGGGGTCGACCTACTAATCATCCTCGACAATAGTCGACCCTCAGGGCCCGAAAGACGGCCCGGACTCCGTAAAAAAAGCGCCGTCGCAAATTCTTCCGCGACGCCCACGAGGTCCTGGGGTCGAGGGGGGGGGCCTCGGACTCCCGCCTGCGACCTCGGACTCGGAGCGGAGGATCGTGCCGCGTCTACAGCGCATCGTCAGTTCAGCGCCGACGTCAGCGACGCATCGGCGACGTCGGCGTGGAGAAGATGGGGCTCCGCATCGAGCCGCATCGTCGATGCGTCGGCGATGCGGCTCGAGGCCCAGAGATTCGACCTCGGGCTTCGTGGCGCCTGCTCTCCACGCGCGGGCGCAGCCGGTTCTGGCGCGCAGGCCTCCCAGGCTGCTTGCTGGCAAGGCCCCTTGCCAGGATCCATCCCAGCCGAGCCATCTGCCATCCGCCTGGCCCAGCTTCGGTGGCAGCTCATGGGATCCTCCCATACCATCTTGTCGGCTCTTGCCAATCGACGCTATTCGACGCCAGTCGGCGCTAATCGACGCCAAATCGACGCTAAATTAAGGCTAACCGACTCTAGCCGACGCTAAGTCGGCGCATCTCATCGACTCCCAGGCACTAGTCGACGCTAGTCGACGCTAAAGACGGAATTCAGAGGGCACACTGGCTTCCATGATTTGCTTCCGCACCACGGCAACTGCGCTGCTGTCTACTGCGGCCTCCCTGAAATGATCAGTAGCTGCATGAGCAGAACCTCTCGGAGGTCCGCGCGGCCTTCCGAAGTCTCCCAGGCAGTGCTGGAACTCGGAAGTTTCTACCTGGTCAGCAAGGAGTTGGCTCTGTGTCGCTGTCGGTCGTTGGCCCGCTGGTGCCTTATGGTTGGTGCCCTCCGCTTTACTGCCCTCTGGTTTGTCCCCAGATGTGCCCTGCGGTCCGTGCCCGATGGCTGCTACTCTGTGGCACCCTGTGGCTGGAACGCTGTGGCTGGAGCCCTACGATTGGAGCGCTCTGATCGGCGCCCTGTAGGTGGCACAACGCAGGCCCAGCGGGAGTACAAAGAGCCTGCTTTACCGTGTGGGCTCCACGCCTCCACGCGCTGTCATCGTTCACTTACCTGCGCCTCTTCTGTGGCTCTGCTCCCGCGTGGCCACCCCCGAGCTCCCTGGACCCCGGCGAGCACAGTCATGTGGTCCTGGGGCCTGGCCGCCATCCCAGTCCTCATCCTCCTCTGGGCCATCGGGGGGAGGGTGGGGCATCAGCGCCACGGCCGGACCCGCCTGGAGGCCCTGGTCTGAGCGTGCTCCAGGGAAGGTCCTGTGGCAGATAATGACGCAGGATCGGTGCGCGTCGGGTCGGGCTGCACAATTGGGCACGGCATCGAGATCGAATCCGATCAGCCGCGCCAGCTGCAGAAGCGCACCGAGCAAACATGGGGCCGCATCGGGTCGTCGGAACTTCCGAGCGGATCGAAACTGTCACTATCACAATCGCCAGTCAGCATCACCACCACCATCATCCTCATCATTAACATCATCATCATCATCATCATCATCATCATCATCATCATCATCATCATCATCATCATCATCATCATCATGACCAGCATCATCATCATCATCATCATCATCATCATCATCATCATCATCATCATCATCATCATCATCATCATTCACATCATCCTCATCGTCGTCATCGTCATCAGCCTCGTCCTCCGTTTCAGCATCATCTACACCATCACCACCACGATAATCACTTCCATCATCATCCTCCTTATCCTCACCATCACCACAGCATCACCATGAGCACCGTCATCATAACCGTCCAGACCCTAGTACTCAGCATTACCATGATCATCATCATCATCATCAGCATCATCATCATCATCACCATCAGCATCATGAGCATCGCCAACATCAGCGTCATCATCACCAACAGCATGATTCTCATCACCATCACCATGATCGCCATCATCGACATCAATCCCTTCATCTCATCATCGGCATAGTCGTGCTCTTCGCAATCGGCATTACCATCTTGGCCTCCACCAACAACATCGTCTTCATCGTCAGCCGCATGAACCTCTTCCTCACCCTCCGCCTCCGTGTCCTCCTCCTCTTCCTTCTCAACATCATCAAACTTAATCAGCATCAGCATCATCATCGGCAACATCATCATCATGATCATGATCAAGATCATCATCATCATCACCATCATCATCATCTTCGACATCCTCACCGTCATCCTCCATCATCAGCCGCATCATCATCAGAAGCATCCTCGACACCATCATAATCAGTAACCTCATCATCGTCGTCGTCATCATCATCCTCATCATCGTCGCCCTCACAATCATCATCACCATCGTCATCATCACCAGAAGCATCGTCACCATACTCGTCATCAACATCATCACCACCACCACCGTCGTCATCATCATCATCATCATCATCATCGTCATCACCGCCACCATCATAATCACCACCATCATCACCACCACAATCACGATCGTCATCATCAGCAGCAGCATGGCAACCATAAGTTTAAACGTAAGCAGCATTTTCATCATCATCCTCAGCATCCTCATCATCCTCCTCCTCATCATCGGTGGCATCATCCGCAGCAGCATCATCAGCTTCAGCAGTATCGCAATCACCATAACTGCCAGCATCATCGTCCCTATCGTTATCTTCACCATCGTCTTCGTAATCGTCGTCTTCATAATCAGAATCCCATCACCATCATCATCAGCATCATCATCCACAGCCACAGCAGCATCAGCTTCATTATCAGCAGCACCATCGTCCTCTTCTCTCTCCTCCCTTTCCTCCTCCTCCTTCTCCTTCTCCTCGTCACCATCATCAGCAGCATCATCAGCAGCATCAGTATCATGATCCTCCTCCTCATCCTCACCCTCATCATCAATCGTCCCCCCTAGATCGCCCCAGGATCGGGGCGAATCCGACTGCGACAACAAGAAAACATCAGCGGCCAGCCCTCGATCATCGAACCTCGGGGACAGGACGTACTACAACTGCGACGCCGTGTGCCTCCGTGCGGAGGCGCACGCCCGACCCGAACACATCGCACGAACACGCCGTGGTGCACCGTGGCCCGGGCGGCACGACCTGAAAGCGCCCGCCCTCCACGGAGCTCCTGCCACGAGACTCCCGAGCGTGCGCGTCGCCCTGGCGAGGCCAGCGCGCGCACTCCTGCTGCAGTGTGCGGCCGGGTGGAAGCCAGGGCCCGGCTCGGCCTCAGCAGAGGCCTCCCGGATGGAGGCCGAGCAGACGGGGTCGGAGGATCGCGCCGCACCGGCGGTGCATCGGCAATACATCGCCGATGCACCGGCGGTGCATCGGCGACGTCGGCGAGGCACCGGCGCCGTCGGCGTGGAGAACATCGGGCTGCACATCGAGCCGCATCGCCGATGCATCGCCGATGCGGCGCGATCCTCCGACC